AACTTTGAACCTTCCTCTATCAATTGCCAAAACAGAGCTTATTTGCACTCTGTACTTCAAACAGGACGTTTTAAAATATAGGGGAGTATTCTTTCATAACTTTATATAGTTGAAGGTTAATAATAAAACTTCCTAAACGTGGAATCATTAACGGCAGTTATTATTCACATAATTCGAAATCCCGAAAAGAGAGCTCGATTTAAGAACTGAGATGGCCTGGCATGAAAGCACATTCCAATTTCTCAATAATTTAATTAAACTTCCCTCGCGTTACAATCACGATCAATCAGCTACGACTGCAACCGGTTTCTGCATTTACGTTAGAAATTACAGCAAGAATAGAGGGATAACAACAATGACAGACACGACGTCGACGATATTAAGAGTAATGACTGATGACGAAACGATCTAATGGAGTGTAAATGGGCGAGATGCGTCGGCAACGTTGATAAAGAGAGAGAGATATTGATTTGCCGCTGGCGGGGGGGGGGGGGGGGGGGGGGGGGGGGGAGAGTTTTCTCCGTGGATAACAAAAAGGAGTGAAAATTATTAGATTAAATCAGAGATTGCTCTTTGCTTATTTCCCCGAGGTAATCTTCCAGGATGATCTTTCGAGGGGAATTGTAAAGCGAGTTTAAACGTGAGAAAGTGATTGACTGCTGTGAGGAAACTTAAAGATTTTTCAGAATTAATCTAATAATTTTCATCCTCTCGTGATCTTTTTAAGGTAATCATGTCAATTATAAGTTCAAGCGACTGTCGCCGGTGCGTCTCTTGAGAGATGCGAATATACACTAAATCGGCCACGTAATGATGAGGCGATGATAACGATAGCAACTACGACGATGACGGCGACAATGACGACGATGATGACGACGACGACGACGACGACGATGGCGATGGTCACTGTTAATTACTCTCGCTGTGCTAATCGATGATTAGCGCAATTGGCGCGATCGCGCTGAGCGGAGTTTCCTTGCGACATTTCGCTTTCTTATTAATCTACTTCGTTCCGAGCTGAATTGGACGACCGATTCTCGATTCTCATACACAAAATGTTATATTTATATAATAATACATATATATATAGTCCTTCCTGATGACGTATCTGCACCGCGCACATTACATTTCGGCCAGCGACTCGAAGTCAAAGCGGGGAACAGTATCTACCTTGGTAAGACGACGGCCGACAGAGAGTAGTTGTACTTTCGACGCACAGATTGTAACAAGAAAAAGAAGAAAAAAAAACAAGGAGAATTACAGAGAAACGAAAGGCAAACAGATAGACAGAAAGAAGGGAAGTGAGAGAAGAAGATATTAGGTCAAAAAAGAGAGGAGTGGAATCATAAAACAAGTTACGACAGACAGACAGATATATCTACTGTCACAAGCGTTTACGAGAATTACGGGATAATTACTTTCTTGATATGTACACTAGATAGACAAATACATATTAATATGTACATACATAAAGAGAAATATATATGTATGTAGTTACATATATATTGAACGAAAAAAAATATATATATATGTATATTTTACACGTAGACTGAAAGCGACACAGCTGTAAGCTTCGCGAGTGGCTACAGTATACAAAGTACAGTAAAGAGATAAAGTACACAGTCCAGAGAATTACAGCGTGTATCTTGTGAAGTGTGGATCGATCGGGCTAATTGCGACACGAGCGCGACATCGCGACACTTTTAATGATTAACGAAGCAGAGATGACGAAAGTGATGCTGAAATCAATATTCGCTCGGTAATCGCTTTATGGCGAATCACTTTATGGTAAATCAATCGTTTAACTGATGACGGCTATTACCGGTCGAGAATTATGACGATGATGATTATGGCTTCACATAACAATATTATCTCGACATAATTTGCCTTGCCACACTAGAGTAAGTTAATTACATAAATTACAACGTGGATTATTACTTATTATAAATTGTCTGCTATCTAAAACTTTTAGAAGGAAGCGTCACTCTCTGAAGAGTAAAAATTGAATTACTCTTTTTCAAGAGTGACTCAATTTCACTCTGTAGAGTGAAATTTTACTCCAAAGAATTTAGAGAATACTGAATTATCTAGAATAAAAAAATATAGTAATGCACTTGCGATTATCGAAAACTGTCGCGATGCCTAATTCGTGGGACTGTCCCAATTATTCCGATACGTCCCGTATACGAAAGCAGGCGCGATAACAGCGTTCGATAGGTGAGAGAGTGTGCTCGGCACGCTTTAAAATGTCACCATATCTGAAGAAGGATATAAAGGACCGCGAGGAGGAAAATTCGAATACATGATAAAAACATTTCTAAACGTCATTATTGTATTCCGCTGCACGCGAACGCATTTAGCATGTCGTGTGAATGGTATAGAGAGTATTTGAGATCTTCTACTGAAAAAGTGAGAAAAAAAGGGAGCGAAAAGTGGGAAGGGTGAATGTATGAGTGTGGAGTTTGGTTTACACAGAAAAAAAGGGCGGAAAAACAGAAACGATTACGATGGAATACACCATCCGAACAACAGCTGTTCATTGTATACACGAGAGCAGTCCGATCTCGTTAAGCGGTTCCTACAAGCGGTCCAACAGTCTGCGCGACAAGAAAGAAAAAATTATGGAAAAATTACAGGGTAAGGTACCTAAATGACGTAGAAGATCGAGGGATCTAAAGATCGGTATTAAGATAAAAATACATACATAAGAGATAAAGATTGTCAAAATATCGATATACGTATAATAGAAATATTTGTGGAGATGTAAAGTTGATGTATAATGGTTTATGCAATGAGGATGTCCGTTTGCGACAACAATCCGCGCAGATTGTTGGATCGTGTACGAGCCGTTTCGCGTCAACGCTGGCAAATAGCAGCAGCGATAGCAGCAGTAGCAGCAGCAGCGATGACTGATTCATTGCTGGAGGCACATTTTCACGTCATGTATATGTTGTGACCGGCCAATGTATGTCGTGAGAATGTCCTATACATATATAATATAACGTTAGGCTTCTTAATGTCGGTGATGAGACATGTGGTGTCGCACAGGGTAAAAACGGGCCTGAATAGAATTCGCATTGTAGTCGCATGAGCTGCACTTGTCAGATCGTCAGGAAAAACATTTTCGTATGTTAAACTTTAACAGGATCAAAAAGAAATATTTTTTCGAATGACAAAATATATTATATCTAAAAAGAAGCACCTTGCGTTATTTTTTTTTTTACGAATAATTATAAAAAAATGACTTAATACTTTTAGAATATTTTTATAGCGAATTTATATGGAATTGATGAGTTAATAAAAATTTGAGTTTTCAATTCAATGAAAATTTTCCTTAACGACCTAAAGCGCAGTCTAGACGTAGTGTTATGGTACAAGTAGTAACGTTAGTAATATCAGCAGTATCAGTGGTGTCAGTAATGGCGATATGGTGTTGTAATCAGTATAGTAATCTAGCAGTAATGGTATACAACTTGCAATTGTGCAGTGGCAGTTGGCTGTCAATCTCCCTAATCGAGATTGCTAATCGAGCGCGAAATGATCTTCATTGTTGATGTCCTATTATGGTGTAAGGACTATCGTTGTCTGAGCCTTCTTAAGAATCGTAAAAGGCGATTAAGGGAGAGCAAAAACTAAAGCGGGACCAACCGTTGGTCCGGCACACACTCATTTACGTTGGAAGCATTAAATCGTTAAATCGCGTCGAAATGAGGTAATTTTAAACGCATTAGATAAATCGAGTGTAAATTGATCGATATTTTCAAGACCAGAGTTCAGAATTGAGCTCTACTCTCGCATAATCCTCGGAGGTTATTTCAAATTTTTGCCTGAGTTTTGCGCCAATGTTTACAGAATAAATTGTACATCCCGCGAGAACTCCGCGCGTATCGTATATACGTCTGCGAGATCCGGCGCTGCCGAATTACTCGTACAAACGTTTGCTGAACTGGGACACGCTAATATCCGGCGCATGCACATCGATCGTAATTAACGGGGATGATTGTTCGGGGATGCCAGTCCCCAATATCCGTAATACCTCGGGCCCCGGTAAGACTGAGTATGGTTAATAGAATAATTTCCGTCTTGTTAACAGCTACAACTGCGTGCATTTGGACCATTGACTCGAGATTACTGAATTAACCCTTTCGGTCGCTTTATAGAGAAATTGTTCCGCTCCTCGTAAGAAACTTTAATATCGAATATAAAGTTTATCGATATTTTTTGTGTGCTAGAATCTTTCTTTGCATTAAGAGCTTTCGTGTCCACGACCGGAAGAGTCAGTGTTCAATCGTTATACCGTATGTATACCTAATTATCAGAGAGAACGTAGGTGTATTCAAAGAACTTAGCGGGTTTCTGAATTTCTCTCACGAATAGCAAGCATAAACAGCGTTTAGGATGAAATCTACGGGATGCCCGAATACTGTAAACTATCGTTGATTAGTTTCGACATATAAACATACAGGGAAAATTTGGGAAATCGCAAAAGTAATTTCCAAAACAAAAAAGTTACTACTTACAACCCTTATAAAATCAAATCAAATTTACTTTTAAATATTTATTTTTTTTTTTTTTAGAAAAGGATCCTAGCTTCGTAGATATAGAACAGATCCAAAGAAAAGAGATCTTACGATGGAAATAAGAGTAAACTTTTAATTATAGTTTCAACGCCAGATTAGTTTCGCTCGATGAAATTAAAATGCTACTTGCACATATTGCGAGATAGGAAGAACACAAAAGTTATAAAGACTCGCCGTGTATTTTTCCCACAATTTTCCCGATCGAGACTCCGTAATATTATACGTTTGTGTCATGTTATACGTTTACGTGTCATATATGCGTGTGAAGAGGACACTCGCGGGTAACGCTTGTGGCTGACAGACGATGTGTTAAATTGTAAGACGTGCGTGATTATACACAACGAGTGGTTCCCTCGTTCCTTCACCTCCTACCCTCGTTTACGGCCATTACTTAATTTCTAACAAGCGGAATTCACTCACCTCCCTGGTCGTCGAGTGCGACCAGAGTGCGGATGCCAGCCTCCTTGCTCTACGACAGACAGAGGCAGCACAACACAGACAACCACCACCAGTGTTAGAGAGCGAGAGATAGAGATAGAGAAAGAAAGAGAGAGAGAGATAGAGAGATAGAAAGAAAAAGAGAAAGAGTCGTACATCTTTTCTTCACTCTTTCTTCATATCTTTCCTCTAAGTAAGTATATAGTATATAGTAATATTAGTAGTATATTAGTATAGTAGTTAGGTATATATAGATATATATATATATATATAGATAGAGGTATATGTAACGGATAAGTCGGTGATGGGTACTGGGCAAGCAAGATAAGAGGTGGATATTGTGAGGTGGATATGTTGAGGTGGTGGCACGCGTAGAGAGTGGGACAGAGTGAGAAGTATTTCGGGTCCCCTCTCTCGTTTTTTTTTTTTCTCGTTTTCTTATTCAGAGGTCTCGTTTCTGAATTTTGGTTGTTCCTTGTTCTTTCTATTACGATGTCGGGCGCACCGTCGATATATATATCGCATATGTTTGTATACGCGATACCTGCCCGCGACGCAGAGACAGGTGGGCAGAGCAGGGCGGGCAAGAGCGATTGGAAGAGAAAAGTATGGGCCCGACCGGGGTACCGTCTCGTACGCGGTGTGACGGTACGAAACGTGTTGGCATGTTGTTGCTTGTTGTCGATTTGTTGATGTTGTTGTTGTTCTTGATGTTGTATCGGTCAATGGCGATGTTGTTATTGTTGATGTTGCTGTTGTTGTTGTTCATGTTGTAGTTGTTGTAGATGTTGTTCCTGTTGCTGTAATTGTCGTCGCCGTGCGTTTATTAATTTTTGTTTTCACATGGCGGGATATCTTCCTTCTGATAAAGCGCGTGTATTTTTTTTTTTCTTTCGGTCTTTGTTTCATTTTTTGTTTGACTTTTTATTGGGGAGGAGGGACTTTGTCTTTTGTGACATTCTACGAGTTTCGGTTGAACAGGTTCGATCCCTCGATCGTCGCCGATCGTCCCTGCGCTCTTCTCGCGTTTCGAGAGCGAAAGAAAGATCGAGCGCAATCGAAGAGATCCACGTCTGCAGTGTTTCTTTTTTTTTTCTGGGCGGTGGGTGGGAATTTCTTGGACACCCAGTAAAAGAACGATACATAGTAAAGTGTAGGTAGAGGTACAACGCAAGGTATGGAGTACACTTTCCATCGAGTGAGATCCAATGCGCAAGGCAAATCACAAGCCTCGCGGGGCCTCTTTGAGTCAAGAATGTCTGCGCGCGGTAGCAACGGTTTGAAACTAATAAAAGAAAAAAGAGAGAACGTATCTCTATGCACGTACATCATAATCGAATACCTTAAAAGAAATAAAATAATATTTTAAAATATTCAGTTTAATTTATATAATATTTAATTTAATTATTAATTAATTAAATTAATATGTTGTTTTAAAAAGAAGAAATATCAAGAGAATAAAAAACAAACAAAAAATAAAACCTGAGAGAAAGAATCTTGTAAAAGTTCGTAACTACAAATAAGAGTATTATAACGTATTTTTGGAAGCTTAAAATTATACTCGAAGCACATGTTAAAAATAAAATTCAAGTTATTTCTCGCGGAAATGATAAGTGATACTAAACCCTCTCTCAATACTATATAATTATAATAAGGATTGTAATAATAAGACACAATTTAATACAAAACCTTTCGGCAAAAGATCCCGACGCGAGACACTTCAGAACTCAAAGGGTTGCGAGTACCTGGATAAGTGCAATGTAGAACACACACGCACACGTAATTGGAGTGGAAGAGGACGGGAGGGTGAATGAAGGGGTAGCGAATGAGTGAATGAGCGAGTGAATGAAACGATCGATGACTCTCGAGGAGGAGAAAAGGATAAGCGACTGTATATTTTTATACTTATTTAACGATTTCCTCTTTTATACTTATAATAATACTCCGTTTATGTAATTACAGCTCACATATTTGAGCATCGTATTTAATACTGAACACGGATATTCGATATTTTAATTTCATTCGATCATTAACACGTCAAATAAAATATTGAACGCGATCGCGAATAAAAGATATCAATTAAATAGGACTTAACAAGTCATATTTAGAGATTAAACGTCATTTTAAATAAAAGCGATATTGCGAGAATAATATAAGATATTGATTTTTTCTGACAATTTTTCATTTTTCACTCGTTGATATTTGTTCATGTTTTGCTCCTTTCCTCATTCAACTTAAGGCACAAGCGTGCATATCAATATTTAAAAAAAAAATATCGGCGGGTAATGGTGGAAGTGCATAAGGGAGAAAACGTGAAGAGTGAGAAATTGGCGATATCGAAGTGACGAGCATATAAGGTATAAATAAAATATTGTGATCAGAGTAAACTTTAAATTAATCTAGATAAATTTTGAATAATAAAAGAGAGAAATAACAAATAGAAAAATAAAAGGAATAATTAAAAATGTCTTTTGTTTATTAAGTGCATTTAATTCCTTGTACTCGATGTGTTATATACATTATTATTAAAAAATATATCACACACATTCCACAATATACTAAATAAAATTACTTTTACCAATTGATGATACAAATAAGCCGCTACAACACATTCGGGTACAAAAGATTAAACAAGTATTTTTCAAATATCTTTCAAAGATCGGGTTGTTTCAAAAAAATTTACATTAATTGCGACATTTTACTTATCGCATAACTTGATTGGTTTTTCATTAGTGGAAAATGTATGATAAAACTAATTAGTATAAATTATTATAAATATTAAAAATCAGCAAGACATAGACAACAATATATGCAAACAAGATTCTAAATTACTTCTTTTTTCAATATTTTACTTCATAAAATAGAAATTGATAGAGTCGTCAAATCGTGTATCCATAAAAATTACTCAAAGGCTTACGTAAGCTTTATAACAATTATTAGATAAATTTTTAATAACTTTCTAAGCAATAACAATTTAGTTTTCCAAAATTCTTCATTAGCTTATATAAACTGTTAGTTGCTCAAATAAAATTTTAATCACGATGAAAAATCGGTTCGTTTATCATCGCTTTGTTTATAAAATTTTTTTTGACAACTCGTGTGAAAGATTTGTTTATTCAGTATGATAGCATGAATTAATGTAGTGCACTGAATATTGATTATACTGAGCTGTGATGACCAATTCTAAAAAGAGCGACAGCACGATGCACTGAAGAGGGAAAGTGGACAGAGGCTTGCAGAGAGGAAAAAGGCAAACACACTCACACGCACACATACAGACAGACAGCCAAACAGCCAAAGCCAACAGGCAACAAGATTTCGTCAATTCGAAAGACAAATCAGCGACAATTATAATGGAATACATTCAAAAAGTTTATACTCCTTTTATATGAATAATAACGTGATAAAATTTCAACAAAGAAAAGAATGTATAATTATTGTTAGTACCTTTTTACATTACAAAATAAAGATTTTCATCATTTCAACATTTTAATGTTGCTGTAGTAACATAATGTTGCTCGTACTGCTCTACGTTTTAATTTACGTCAAAAATCTATAAATTGTAAAAATCGACAGACATATAATTTTCCTTTGAATATTTATGATCTTTACGAAAAAGTTTAAAAAATATTTAAAACTTTTATAAAATTTTCCATACCGTGTATTTTCGAAAAGTGGTCGTTGATTATTCTTTCGATCCTTAAAACCTCGTTTAAAGCGGATAGGCAATCGAGCAGGCAAGTGTAGAGATCGCGGATTAAGCAAGCAAAGACCACACACAGGCACACATCGCGCACACGTATACAAAACACATACATTAACACCCAGCAACAAACAATATTGATAGAAAGAGATAGAGACAGATAGAGACACAGAGAGAGAAAGAGAGAGAGTAGCAACAGCTTTGGTATACACATATACAGACGCAGCTTTTCTCCTTCTTTCCTCTTATTTTCATTCGGTTCTTTTTTCCTTTTCCTTTTTTTCTCTTTTCGTTTTTCTCTTTTTAAGTCGCAATCGCCGTTTTTCTCCTTTCGGACATCTCTTTTCGATGGGAGCTACTTCTAAGCGATATCGGCCTCCCTCTCAGCAAGGACCAAACTCCTTCTCTCTCTCTCGATGATCGGATCTTGAAGAGCCCTCTCGCGTGAGATCGATTTGCGATTTAACCCTTTGCACTCATACTGATGCGTCGAGATGCGAGATAATCATTCCTATAGAATATTCTTTCGAACAGACGAAGAGAGTATAAAACGAAGATCATAATTCATATTCCTTTGTAATAAGAACAGACGCCTATTCCGATTTTTTAATTTTAATCACGATTATAAATATAACTTATAATAGTGCATTAATGAAAAAAGATGATTTTCTCAAATTTTCTAAAAATAAATATTAGAAACTAAAATAGAGAATACTTAAAAAATATTTTTATTTACCATTAATCACTCCAATTAGAAGAATAGATAAATATCAGAATATAGATACATTTCAGTACGAATCGACATTCGTTTATCTTTTCAGAAGCAATTTTTTTATACAATAATAAATGAAAGAAAAGGTCTAACATGAAAAAAAGGGGATACTGACTCTGCAAGAATAAGGAATGTATCATATCTCGCTCTTACGAAGAGATTATTCAAGCGCAAAGGGTTTAAGAGCGAAAAATCGAACTGCAGTTTCATATCCGCGAAAGATAATTCTTATACTTTTTTTTTTCCTTTCGCGAGCACTCGACGTTCTTCCTTCCGTTCGCTGCGCTATCGCGAATCCCGACGCTGCGTGTCGTCGGGTAATTCGCGTGCGGCGCCGCACAACGCAGTCGTTTGCGTACGTTTACAGTACAACGCGCGTATTGTACAATCGCCGGAATTAATAGTGCATCAAAAGCACGATGAGTGGGCCATTGCTTTGCGTCTTCGGGTCCTTGTGCACATATTACAATCTCGTCCAAAGGAAGACGAAGAGAAGCACTGATCGTTGAATCGACGTTTACTTGTCTACACATAAGTAACTAAACGATTGTAGTAC